TCAAATATAACTATTTGATACGCGTATCAAGAGATCGGTGTAAACTATGGTATTTCGTGGCAAATTTTGCTAACAATTATCTATTTCAAGTAAGGATTAAAAAGATATCTTCGAATTTGTCTCCGATTAACCTATCCTACCAACAGACGCGACAGTTGTCTCGCGCCAAGTGTCAGTATTGTAAAATAATTGTTAATTTGTTTGAAGGATGTTCCGGAAACTGTTGAGAGGATTGAATCACTGGATTACTGCATTTAAAACTGCATTGTGAACTGTATTTAAAGAAATACATGAGACATGAAAAATACATGATGTATTTTCCAGCACAGTTTGGCATAGCAGTCATCAACACATTTATGTGATAAATGCTGTGTTATTCACATATGAAGGAAACTATTTTTATTTAAGGTAAATATTGTAATTATAATATACAATTAAAATGAAAGTGATTGAAAATGCTGCAGAATGAAGGAAAGATATTTGTGAATTTAATCTGAAAAAAAAATACTCAAGTATATATGTATATTTTTTATTATATTTCTAGTTATATTTTCTACATATAATAAAAAAATATTTAAATATGTATATAAAATATCTTGTATTAATATGAAAAATTAGTTTGATACACCCGTGCTTGATCGCTACGGTATGCGAAGAATTTACCCCCGAATTTAGATTTCTCCCTTTAGGGGTTGATTATGGCAAAATCTTGAATTACGATTTTAAACATTTGTATGGTTAACCTTTGTAAGTAAAAATCAAGTCGATATCTCATCGGACTTAAGAGATATTGAAAAATTCGTGAAAACACATTTTACCCCTTCTCACCCCCATCAGGGGTCGTATTTTTTAAAATCCCTTCTTAGTGGGTGCTTACGTCATGGAAGGAATATACTCCCTGAATTTATGAAGTTTCTAGGGTTTTGGGTTGGGCGTTGATGAGTCAATCGGAACATTCAATTATATTATATCTAGAAGATAATAGAAAATGCCGAATTGTGTATAGCTTCGTCTAAACAAGGCCCAATGATGCATAGCTTTCCACGAGCTTTGCAACGTAAAAAAAATAGATAAAAAATGCTGGTGGATTCCAAACAATAATTTGTATTTATGTGAAGTATGCTTTCTATTTAATAGGAATTGATTTATAATTATATATATTAGCAATTTATTATTGTCCACAAGCATGAGGATTCTGGCGTAACGTAATATATTTTATTTATATATCATTGAATCAGTTTGAATTGTGAGGTATACGTTTGGGAGTTTGCCATTGAGCCACATAAAAACCGCTACTCTCTGCAGTAACAAATTATGAATCCTTACTCCAACTTCCTATCAATGATAGGATAGGAAGATAGGATCCTGATAAAATTAAAGTATTTTAATATATTGTTCTATTTTACAGTTCCATTTCACGGCTGATATATGGGAAAAGGTACGTGTTGATGGAAGAAAAAAATTGAAATTATCTGCTATTCCAATGATTTTTGGAGAACTTGCCATTCAAAAGTATGAAAAAATGGTGGCAGTTAAATAATATTTGTTTTTAATTAATTCGTCACATTCAATAATTAGCACACTCATGGCTTATATCGATATTTTTTACATCAGTTTTGATATTTTATTTTCAGTTTATATCGATATTTTTCACATCATATATGACAGAAATATAAACTGCATGCAAGTCATATTTGTATAGTTTATTAATCGTCAAGACGTTAATAATCTTTGATACTTATTAATGTGCATATACGCATGTTGTAAAATCCAAACAACATAGATGTACTTGTAATATACAAAATATATTAACACATTCTTATACTTACAGATATTATATATATGCAGAATCCGGCGCCGCGGTCAAAGCGCGTCATTAGCAAGCCAATACGGTATCAAACAACGTCTTCGGATGAAAGTCTTATGAAAAGGAGGAGCACAGCAGCAGCAGCTACTATCGTACCAAGAACGATCGACGACGACTTCGAGGACATCAACAGGATACTGGAGCGCAAGAGCCCTATGCCTACTGATATTAATAGACTGATAGACATGATACAGCCATATACACAACATACACCTCAGTACACGCACACAAACACACAACCGCACACAAATATTTTATCATACACAGGGTGCGTTTCACAAATACAGACATACGGAAATACCCCTGGTAACCATATCCGATAGAAAACGATTAAAAACGGCTATATCTGTATCGTTTTTAATCGTATCTTATCGGTTCTATCGTTGCATATTTAAAAGACAGATAAAACATTAATCGAATCGAATCGGTTTCTATCGTTTTAGGTCCGAATAAGAAAATAACTATACAAATTTTATAGTTATGAATCGTTTTCTATATGTACAATTATTGCCCGTCTGAATCAATCGTATATACACGATATAATATGTATCGTTATTTATGGTAATAATTTTACCGTATGCATTAATACGGATATATAAAATTAAAATGATAGACATCTTATCGATATTTATATGACTTAACCGAACCGATACATCTATCGTTTCTTATCAGGATTTTCTGACATACAACTTATCATCTTCTTTATGGCAGCAAATCGGTTCGTTTTCTATCGTATATTAATGATATATAAATTGAATCGTTTGAAAACCTTCTACTTTGTATATGTTTGTATAAAGTTAAAACGATAGACATCTCGTCGATATTTATACGATTTAACCGAACCGATACATCTATCGTTTCTTATCAGGATTTTCCGACATACAACTTATCATCTTCTGTACGGCAGCAAATCGGTTCGTTTTCTATCGTATATTAATGATATAAATTGAATCGTTTGAAAACCTTCTACTTTGCATATGTTTTTATAAGGTTAATACGATAGACATCTCGTCGATATTTATACGACTTAACCGAACCGACACATCTATCGTTTCTTATCAGGATTTTCCGACTGACAATCATCTTCTGTACGGCAGCTAATCGTTATCTATCGTATATCAACGATATTAACCGAATTGTTTAGAAGCAGCAGACGGAAAAAATTTCTATGAAAATCATATTTTGTGAATACCCAGACAGCACCAAGTCCAAAATCGGGACATAACACGTCTTTTAGATGTTTTTTAGACGTCTATGTCCCGCTTTTGGACATGCATGCTTTCTGGGTATTCATAGAAATTTTTCGATTTTCATACATCTAATAATTCAGATATATGAAAAACTATGAATAACTACAATTTTTTATACTTTTTCACAGAAAGCTATGGATTTTTATAAAAAATTAAGTTGAATATACTAATTTCTACGCGTGCTGTTTTTACGCCAGAAGAGCTGAATCAATTTTGATACTTTTTTATAAAAAATTATGAAAAATAATTTTAACTATATGTTAGATAAACTTTCACGGAATTTTTAATAATAAATTAAACGCCAGTCTGTAATTAATCTTAATTTATTAGAAATATATTTTATATAAGTGTACAAATATGAAGAATTATGAACAGATACATTTTGTTTTTTTAACTAATAATTAAAGTGATATATTAATATATAGTTATAATGTTTCAAATTGGTTCGGCATTGTACAAAGAAATTTGTCACATTTTATTTCGACGACCACAAGTTTGCGTTTTATCAGCTGAATCGGAATTATTTTTTCATCTTGTGCTTCGCTAGTAACTTGTAACATATGATTTATTCTTAATTGATTATAGACCGCAGGCATGGTTGTCAGAACTTTACAAACGACAAAGCAACATTTATTTACAATAATAAAACTTAATATTTCGATAATTATATCATCGTCTAATTGTACTACAGAGAATCGTTGGTTTTAATAGTTTTACTGTACGCTGCAGTGTGGAGCACAATTCCGCTAAATATGCACCTTTCATATACATGTACCTCTTTATTATTCATGAAATTCTTATAATAGTTACTATGACACTTTAACAAGCTATAATATTTATCCGCATTTTGTACTAATTTTGGAGCACCTGAAAATCACCTCCCAAGTATTTTGCAACGTGAGTTTCTGATAGAATACCGTAAATAAACGATTCACTAATTATATTAAAAACGATAGAAACTGATATATAGCTGATAAGATATTTACGATAGGATTCCAAGTATTTTGTAACGTGAGTTTCTGATAGAGTACCGTAAATAAACGATTCACTAACCATATTAAAAACGATAGAAACTGATGTGCAGCTGAGAAGACATTTACGATAAGATTCCAAGTATTTTGTAACGTGAGTTTCTGAATAGAATAGAATACCGTAAATAAACGATTCACTAACCATATTAAAAACGATAGAAACTGATGTATAGCTGATAAGACATTTACGATAGGATCCCAAGTATTTTGTAACGTGAGTTTCTGATAGAGTACCGTAAATAAACGATTCACTAACCGTATTAAAAACGATAAGAAATTTTTTTATCATTTTCTATCGGAGATGGTTACCAGGGACACCACACCCGTACACACCGCCTGTCATACAAGAACACACATACAATAATGCACAAAATTTTACACTTTCCGCAGGTAATGATAAAATATATTATACTAATAACACTTTGCCTCAGTTGCAGGATACTGTTGCAAGATCCAGGTCGTTTCAGCAAGACACACATTGCTATCAACGTTATAATGAAAGTGAGAGACGGTGTTCTCAAAAGGAGAGAGATGATGTTCGTTATTCACAGGAAGTTCCGATGGGAGAAAAAAGTACAGACAAAAGGTACTTTTATACTTATTTGTACAAAGATTTATAAGAAAAAGATGAGTTTTTTTTAAAAGAATGTATATTTGTAAATAATTACATATATAAATTACAGGCAAGAGGAGCGACTCGATCGCATGGAGGCAAAGCTGGTAAGGGAAGTCGGCAAATTGGATCTGTAACTTCGGAATAAGGATTGGCTCTGAGGAACAGGGGCGTGTCGGACTTGGTCGGGAAGCGGATTTGGCTTGGCTGACGTGCCGGGCCTGGGCGAGGTGAACCGATCGGCGTTCTCGCGCCGGTCCCGGGGATCCGAGCTCGGTTTCGTGCCTTGGCCTCCCGCGGATCTTCTTTGCTGCGAGGCTTCCATGGCGGCGCGAGCCGTCGTGGTCGTCCTCTTCGGCCGCCATTCAACGCTCAGCTCAGAACTGGCACGGACTAGGGGAATCCGACTGTCTAATTAAAACAAAGCATTGCGATGGCCCTCGCGGGTGTTGACGCAATGTGATTTCTGCCCAGTGCTCTGAATGTCAACGTGAAGAAATTCAAGCAAGCGCGGGTAAACGGCGGGAGTAACTATGACTTTCTATAAAGTAGCCAAATGCCTCGTCATCTAATTAGTGACGCGCATGAATGGATTAACGAGATTTCCACTGAAATACATATATTAATATAAAACGTCCTCTCTCTCTTTTTCAAAGTCTAAACTTTGTGTAATGTTTTTGTTTTCAGACAAACGAAAAGACTATTAGAAAAAATATTAAAATGCGTACAGGATCGCCATTCCGCGACAGTAAACCCTGCTGGATTTCCGATATCTACGTTACAGCAGATGGACGCATTCAAAAACATTGACCAGGACGGTTATTCCAATGCTGTAAGTTAAGAACATTTTTGTCCTCATTAACTCAAATATGTACTTATTATGCATTTTAATTAATCTTAATTTTTTTAGGTAAATTATTTTGAATATGTCGGTGGCTTCCATTTAAAGGAAGCCGTAAATCTATGCTTGAAGGAAAGCTTAACCGACTCACTGACGCGGTCATTCACCTGGTGGGGCCGAGAAGAAGGACAGCGACCCTTATATAAAGCTCGTCTGATTACGGCAATATACGGTACGAATTTTTCCACTTTTACTAACAAAGATTTTTAATATTATGTTTCTGATATATCTCATACTTTTTTTCAGATGCTGTATGCAGGAACCGGCACTTTCCAAAGCCAACGCGATCTGAATTCCAGGCTCAGATGCGGGAGGCTGTTCGCATTGCGAAGGAGAGATCTCGCAGCAAGATGCATGGTTCACGCACACGGACAGTCGAGGCGAGAGAGAGAGAGAGAGAGAGAGAGAGAGAGAGAGAGAGAGAGAGAGAGAGAGAGAGATTGATTGATGTATTTATTTAGCCCATTGGCTACTTAAGAAAGTACATTTTACATATCTTAATTGTCACTTGGGAAATTTACAATTGGTTCAACATTTGTTGCATGGATTGGGGAAAACCCAAGAAAAACCCAATCAAACCAGAGTCATTTCAGTAAATACAATAAATACAATAAATAAAATAAATACAATAAATACAATTAATACAATTTTAATACAATTAATAGTTCATATAGTTCTCTCATACATACATTTCTTTAACATATTTACTCGCTTTTCTTCTAAATGCTCTGACATTGTCAATAGATTTATAACCATTAGGTAAGTCATTGTAAATTTTAAAGCCGTTGTACATTAGAGTTCGTTGCGATCGTGTTTGATTACGCTTTGTTATGTAAATATTGTTGCGCTGTCGTGTATTATAGGAGTGTGTATCTCCAACAATTTTTAAACTTTCTGCAAGATACGATGGACTTATTTTTAATTTAATTTTATGTACAAATATAAGCGTATTTAATGCAATTCTCTGTTGAACATTAAGAAAATGTAACGCATTTAACATTTGAACTATTGGTGTAAATTTACTACATCTTATAATCGCTCGCATCGCTCTATTTTGCGTTTTTTGTAATAAATTAAGTTCAGTTTCGCCAATATTTAAGAAAATTGTAGAACAATAGTCAAAATGCGGGGCTATTATACTTTTATAAATTATAGTTCTTGTTAGCGCCGATACAGAGTCTCCAATTCTAAACAGAAAATTTACTTTTTTTGACATTTTTTTAATTATATACTTGACATGTTCTCTAAAATTTAATTGCTTATCAATCATTATTCCAAGGTATTTGATTACGTCAACAGTTTCTATTTTGCTATTGTCAATTTTAATGTCATAGTTTTCATTTGGCACAAAAGTACCTACGTCTCTTACCAACATAAATTTAGTTTTCGTCACATTTAAGCTTATCATGTTTTCTCTTAGCCATATTGATAATTTGTTTAAGTCATAATTAATTTTGTTTACAATTTCTTCAGAATCGGAACTACTGTAATATACTATAGTATCATCCGCAAACATCTTACAGCTACAATATTTTAACGCTTTTCTAAGATTATTTATATAAATTAAAAAAAGGATTGGGCCCAATATCGAGCCTTGTGGAACTCCGTATTTGGTTTTCCTTTTAGATGAGGTCACATTATTGAATTTAACTTGTTGCGTTCTGTCGCTAAGGTAACTTTTAAACCAATTAAGGGGATGCTGGAGTCACGGGCGAACTCGATCAGCGTCGATAAAGAAGTGCTCACCGATTCTTACATATACATACAGAGCGCAGGCAAACTCGACCAGCGTCGATAAAGAAGTGCTCACCGATTCTTACACATACATACAGAGCGCAGAGTTTTTGGCTGAAATCGGGGAGACGCGTAACATGTGCATATGAAATTTTCTAACATACTTTTCTCTTATACTAAAGCTCGCAGCTCATTTCTGCAAGCACAGGATTCTTCTTTATTGTATTTCCGTGACGGCTGCAAGGTTTTTGTATACGTACACAGTCTAAAACTTTTATCTGCAGCAAATGTTGTCATGAGTCGACCGCAGAATCAAAAATAAAAATGTAATTTTCTAATTTTTTTTCGTTTTTCATACGCAATTGGTGCCTGCCGTCTTCGTTATCGTCCATACTTTAATTCTGGACAAAAAATTTGTAATTCGGTGAAATCAATCAAAAGATTTGTGTGTCTGAAAATTTCGTGGTAAAACAGACCTGTCTCCAGCATCCCCTTAAGAACATTATTTTTTAAACCGTATTTGTTTAGTTTTTTTAACAATTTATTTCTGTTAATAGTTTCAAAAGCTCGCTTAAAATCTAAGAAAACTACTCCAGTCTTTAGTTTCTTATCACAGTTAGCTTTCCACTCATTCAAGACATTTTGTAAAGCAGTTTCACAGGAATGACTTTCACGAAAACCAGATTGCTCTGGTACT